CTAGAATTAAAATACACTGATGCACTCTTGGACGACGAATGATGCCGACTAACTCGGTGAACTGGTTGACCTTAGACAGCCTACAATCCTTCAAGATTTTAACTGGAATACTAATGTCTGATATAAATCATCCAGCCTTCACTCGCTTGTTGTCGACGACATTTGTATTACAAAAGGTAACATTTATATAACTCGCTAGCTGAGCTCGACGGCTCTGAAGAAGCGGGACGCCTTGCAAAGGGCGGACATATATAAGGGTGGTAGGTCGTATTTCATGTTAGTTTGCACAGTGACGAGCTGACAGTCGTCACGCTGCAACCGCGCCCCAGGCTCGTAAACCTCGCGGTGCTCAGCATTCGGGGAGCCAATTAGGCGCGTAAGTCTCAGGTGCGGCCTACTCTGCACGCCCGGGTCTGGCTGCCACTTTGATATGGTCGTGTGGCTCCAGTTGTCGCGCTATAGAGGTTACGAGTGCTTTTTTAGGTAAATTTAAATAAGAAATATGAATTGCCTACATACTTCATCATTTGTGTTGGAGCCAGATTAATAAATCAAGTCAAATGTGATTTATGTGCTTACGTTTGTATAAGCTTAATTTAGCTAGCATGTTAGCGTATCCTGTGCGTCTTTGACTATTAAAGGTGATTAATAAATGATATATACCTTATGCAGGACAAATCAATGCATGAGGCGTGAGTGTGCGCAAGAGATTCAGTAATGATGATGCTGTGTATGAGTCATCACTGTGATCATCAATGATTCTGCTCATAAATGCTAAGTTATTTGCGGACAAAGTAAAACTCAATCGCCACCGAAAAATAATCACATTAACCTAAACCGTAATAATTACTCCTCATCTCGTCCTCTAATTTTATTAGCAGTCATTACATCCATAGCGCTAATGACGTCCATATAGTCACATTTTAATGCTCCATAATCCGCTGTGCGCATTTGAGTGATTGCTTCTAAGCGGATGGTGCTACTATTCCGGCTTAATGGATCGATACGAGCCTGGCTCATGCATTTGCAGGATTTTCTCTATCCTCACGAGGAACATTCATATATGCTTTTATTGGCTGTTTCCTTCCTTTGATGTTCCTACGCGTCTTTTCATTTGCTTTTCTCGTGTTCTTTCAGGTCGCTGAGACCTCAGGGGAGTTTTTGGTCCCGTCTTGGCTTTACTGAAAAACGTACAACTAGACTTGCAAGCTCAGATGTATATTCAACGTTATTCATTTCTTTCGTCTGACCTGTCTACCAACCCATATTTTGATTGAAACATCTACGAGGGGCTTCAAAAAGTTCGTGGAAAATGAACATAACTGGAAATTCTATGAAAAGAATATGATGCCAATCTACCAGATTGATCATGTGTCAATGTTTTATAAAGTGTTCACACATTAACCCTTAAATTTATGTTAAAAATTACAAAGCACAACCGTTCATGAAACAAGGCAGCTGCCGAAATCGAGGCCTGGTCAAACATCAAATTCATGGTGAAGCTAGGGTGGAAAAACAGCTAAAATCAATGACTCCTTGGAATAAGTTTGTGGTGACAGTGCCTCAAATAAATAAGCAACCGACAAATGGATTAGTTGTTTCAGAAGCGAAAGAAATTATACCAAAGATGACTCCTGCAAAGACAGGCTACGCACATTAGTTTGTGGGGAAAACATTGATGTTGTTCGTGATGTCAGTGAGAAAGATGGGCGAATGACTACCGAATCAGTAGCAGAGACATTCAGAATCTCTGTGGGTGCTGAACAGACATTTCTGTTGGGCAGCTTGTTACTGAGCAAGCTCTCCGCTCGATATGGGTTCCAAGGCTGTTGCGCCAAGATCAGAAGGAATCAAGGACAGATCTTTCTATGGGAATTTTGAACGAGTGGATTGAGAACCCTCAATTTTTTCATGCGGGTTGTGACCGGGGATGAAACATGGCTCTACCAGTACGATTCCGAGTACAAAACTTAATCGAAGCAGTGGCTGGTCAGGGGTGGAAGTGGGCCCGTCAAAAAAAAAATTGGAGCGTTCAAGAGGGAAGGTTTTCTGGGATGCAGAAATCTTGTTGTTATCCTTTAATACAAGAAATATATTGCAGCTGTTTATTATGAAGCGATTTTGAGAAAATCGCTGAAAAACTCATTGGGAAGCAACATCAGCGCGCACTCTTCCACCACGACGATGCACTCACACATGGCTCTCGGCAGACAGGAGCTGTGCTACGCGTATTTCGATTGAAAATCATTCGGCATCCACGTTACAGGAATGGCTTAGCCCCATCTGACTTCTCTTTATCTCCAAACGTGAAAAAATCATCGAAAAGTGCACAGTTTCAATCAATTGAAGTAGCAAAGAGAGCTGCTAACGCATGACTTAATTTTACACTAATGGACTAATAGGCTCTTATTAGCGTTCGAAGAAATGTATTGCCCTTGTTACTGCCTATGTATGAAAATAAACCTTATGACTTTTATAGTTTTTCAAACTGTTGTTTTTCACGAACTTCTGAAGCACTCTCGTGTTCAGGCGCTGTTGGTAAGCTTTGAGCGAAGTACTGTTCTTTCTATTTATTGTACAAAATCGAAAGAACAACATCTTTGTACGTTCCTATAGTCGTCAAGTATGTTTATAACTAAACAAACCATAAGCTTCGCATAACAACTCTCTTTCTATCAAATAAACGGTAAACTTTAATTAGTGCTAGATATAATTACGGTCCCCAGTTTTTAATTAACGTGCTTTAAGTAATTTGTTTACTCGGGTTTCGTCAATTAATACAGTTTTCTTTCTATTGATGCTTCAACTGTTGCTTAAAAGCTATTTTCTACTGCTAACTTTGCAGCTGACATCCTCTCAATATAGTGCGATTCTGTAAAGAAATTTAACCAGGCCTGACTCCCAATATAGGCTGTTGCCAGTCCTGATTCGATTACGAAGTATAGTAGCGAAGTTGCGCGCCAATCTTTCTTCGCAAACCTGATGACCAAAAAAGTTTCGCCTTCTTTGCTCGAGAGTTCAACATACCTTAGGATGCTCCTCAAGTGTGCATACAAAATTCAGGGGCCAGACGACACCACTTATTTTTTCATTTCAGCAAAAATTGGCAACTTTGCACAGTCAAGAAAAGTCGTTTGTATTCTGATGTTGTGACCCAAGAGTGCAGTGCCTCTCGAGGAATCTTCAGAGAATAACATTTGTCTGTCGAACTTGAACTCCAGACTCCAGCAATGCGTCATTTCAACGCTGCCGTAGTCCGTTTTCGATCTTGCTAGAGAACCTAAATGTTAAAGAATTTATTTCCAGTGGTGTAGGGTAAGCTTCTATCAGTCAACAGTGATCTGATTATATTTCGCATTGAATCCTTTGGTTATAGGAAGATAGATTGACGCATGATATTTTGGACGAGAAACGAGGTAAGGTTTACCACTAATTTTTCTTAGAGGAAACATTATCAAATATTCGTAGCACGTGTCAGTGTAACTCCGTAGATAAATAAATTGAGTGAATGTGAAGGTATCAGGTGAATTTTTCATGAAACACGTGTTTTTCGCAATTGGGGGAAATTAATTCTTAAGTATTGAATGGTGGTGAATTTATTTTCTTGTATCGTGATATAGCATTCATATCAAACTCATAGTTCACACATCTGTATTCAGCAGCTCGATGAATTGTATCTACTTTAGTCGGTTACTTAGTCCGAGAGCACAATTTTTTGCCCGGCGCGACTTGCTTGCGATCCAGTTGGCTTCAAAGCAGTCATGCAGGTTTCGTCGATGGTCTCCTAGGAAGGAGTGGCTCAATTATGCACCAATCATCCTCCTAATGATGCCGGGCTACCAAGCTTACATCCCTTCAATGAATTCTTCTTATGAATGAACATCCCTTCAATGAATTCTTACATCCCTTCATCCCTTCAATGGTGTTTTGATATCATTTCGTTTTTCAAGCTTCCTAAATGTCGAGCAATCACCTATGAGGCATTTACTGTACTTCCGTGTCATGTATGCAGCATTTTATTAAACGTGTAATGATCTTACTCTTACGAACTCCGAAGTACACTAATTTGCCTATTACCTCAAATGGTTTTTTATAATTTTTAAACATTTGATTGTGGTTATTCGTACTCTTCGTCAATTCAAGATTTTCACAATATGCTCGATTATGAAATGGCGTCATCCTAACAACTTTAGGAGTTAATTTCCTTGTGTTAAATGTGTATTGTACATTATTCCTGATTTCAATCACTGTAGCTAAATTGTGACCTGAGATCATGGAATCAGTCATGATCAGCGATACTATGACCTAGCTAGTCACGTGAGTTGCAGCATTCGAGTTCAGGAATAGCGATATCGTAGCAACAACGGATATTGTGTGAGGTCACCGCTTACAGTAGCCAGCCATCCCAACTTACCTAACTTGTGCCGACGCGTCAGCTCGTTGGGAGCGCCATTATTAGTCATGAAGACTGGAGCTGCTAGTCGCTGTCTGATGTTCACGGTTCACTATGACGTAGCTAGCCACGTGAGTTGCAGCATTCGAGTGCAGGAATAGCGATATCGTAGCAACAACGGATATTGTGTGAGGTCACCGCTTACAGTAGCCAGCCATCCCAACTTACCTAACTTGTGCCGACGCGTCAGCTCGTTGGGAGCGCCATTGTTAGTCATGGAGACTGCCCAGAGCCCCAGACTGGAGCTGCTAGTCGCTGTCTGATGGTCATGTGAAGCAGTGTTGTGTTGTGGCGGTAGCGCTCGGTTCTCACTGACTGTGATCATATTTTGGACGTTGTATTTACTTGCCTCATTTCATTTTTATTTGAAGCAATTCTGAAGCAACGCTAGTTCAATAGTCTATCGGGTTTTTATTTACTGAAATAGTAAGAGTTTCCTAATTTTTTCATCTCCAAATTAATAGATCCAGGAAGGGTTTCATAAATCTAGAATGTTTCATCGTATATCTTTATTGGTTCATTCAAACAAGCAATAGATTCCGACTTCTGTGGATCTGCGCCTCGCGTTATTCTTCTGATATAATTGGTGAGATTTTCTGATTGCAATATTCTCATTTAATGTTCATTAAGTTAATCGAGTTGTCTAATATGGAGAAAATATATATTTAATCGAGTTAGCTCAGATGCGAAGCTTTTCTTGCTTATGTTTTCTATCGAGTCGGTATGAATTTTGGTCCAGTTTTCATTTAATGCTAATTAATTTGAATTTATCTTTCAAAACATTGATGTTTTCTGGAGTACGAAAACGTCCACACTTTTTTTGGAATAATTTATTTTAGAAATTAGGTTATAAAGTAGAAAGTACTAGCTACAATATTCGGAATTTCATTCCTTCATTTTGCAAAAAATCATGCTAAGATTCGAATAAATCTGCGTGGAAAAGAAGCAGTCTCCCGGCTTAATCATGTCGATGTAGTTATTGATTTTGTTCGTTTTTTTTTTACTGTTGTCTGCTATTAATTAACGATTTGCTCTGCTACGCCATTTTAACCTGCTACTTGTCTGTCTACAACCGTTGCAACGCCGGGTTAACTTGGTTGTGATGAATGAAAGAGAGCAAATAATTGTCAATAATTATTAGTCATTGATGATTACCGTTATGTTAAAGTAATTTCATTAGATTTCTATATTTTAAAACCGTATTACATTATATTTCTATACCTTTATGAAAAAAATACATTGCATCATATATAATACACTTACATATTCTCTTGCTAATTACTTCTTTGATAGCAAATGCATTTAAGATGGTAAGTGACGATTTTTATTTATTACTCATAGCTATATCGCTTCTTTATACGGGTTTTACTAGAAAAGATTGCAGTATGAAAAGTAAGGCTGCTCTTTATTGTTACACAGATTTTGTAATTTGCTGTGAAAACGACGTATTGGGTTAAGAAGCTTTCAAGCAGCACTTAATCAGCTTTGAACTGATTTTTTAAAGAATAAAACAATGTAGTATATAGTTCCATTGTGACTGAGGGCGTATGAATAGGTACCTACTGATGTACACACTGATTCCGATTTAAACATAATTTTCTATTTCTTTTTAGCGCAGTTTCTCATTTATGGAGAAAATGCACTATTGTGCTCACCATGTCCATCTGTCTGTCTGTCCGTCCGTCCGTCCGTCCGTGACCTCAAGTTTTCGTCGACGAGAAAATGCGCTCTCTGTCACTCACTGCAGTGAGTACTGAGTTATATTTTTTAGCTATAATTTCAAGTTATTATTGCCTGAGAAGGATTGCATGTCGCGCAAAATTTAACTGCCGAATGATGATAACATCGAGTAAGAATTTCTGCTACGAAACTATACTAAGTGCTGCTTTCCTGTGGCAAAAGAATTCGTTCTCATCATAGACTAAAATAAAACAGATTGGTGTCCTTGAAGCTAAACATAATTTCGTAGTCTTTTGTATTTTTAGATTTAATTTTTAATTTAATTTAATTTAATTTTTTCGTTTAGAGTTCGGCGCTGAAATTATTTCTCTTGTACTTGCGTGCAGGCAGATTTCGTTTTCTGCTTCCGATTTTAAGATTAAACGTATTAAAAATTTATAAGTTGCCAGTTTCCTGTTTCCTCTAAGAGAAATTTATCCCCGTGATATTTTGTTTTCCTATGATCCGAACATAAGATGTAGCACCGGTCATTAAAACTCTCCAGAGAGATTTGCGCGCTCGTATATGACATAATTATTGATCCACCTATGTAGTGCAGTTGGTATTTTTATATTTTCTTCTTTCGTTGGAAGTTATAATAAAATTTTACTATTTATATAACATAAATATAATATGAAATTTATATTAGACCTAAGTATAATAATATTGTATTTTGCAATTAAGGGATATGAAGTGTATTTTTCTCTTTTGAGTTGACTAGCATCAACTTCAAAATGAGCGTATCAAGCTATTTTAAAACTCGATGGCAAGATATCCTCTATTGACGCAATCTGTTGCGTTTCCACCTTATCTTCGCTTCAAGACACGTCACTCGGCATATCTCAATGACTCATCACCTGTGCAAGCTGTTGGTGGTAGTTGTGTCTTTATTATGCCTGTATAATACATAAATCATTTTTCCTGTCTGTCTTCTCATGACTGGTTTTTGCTACTTAAAATGCCTAGCAAATTACGGACCAGGCAATAAGTCCAGACGAAGCTATGCAGGAGCATATGTTCAGTCTTAAAATGCCTAGCAAATTACGGACCAGGCAATAAGTCCAGCAGCTATCTCAATCAATTGTCAGTTATGGAAAGATCGGGTCCCAAAGGCCGGATCCCTTAATATGTGAATCAAGTCACGAAAAGTTCAAGAATCGGCAACAGGCCATGGGCCTATTTCTTCAGCGCCGACACTTCTATTCTATTCTACTTATGAGCCTTGGTGGAAATAAGGCTGAAACATTTCGATTCTGTTTTATATTTGATTTGCACAGGGGGAAGTCATTGAAACTTTTTAAGCTCCGAAAGAAGGGGTTTTATGAGGCTTTCCCGCTACAGAGTCACAATCCTGCAGTGAATATGGCAGAATTACACTTTTGCCATCGAGACAACTTTCGTAATGACCGAATAAGGTCAAATATTTTTGCCAGCGCGCTCTTGTCTTTCTGTGGGGGGTATTCTAAAAGAAGAAAATGCGTGGTAGGTATTTCAAAAGAAAATTTAATTGATTTGTCCATAGAAATTTAATAGTAATACCAACGTCGTCAATATTTTAGTTCCCAATTAACCCCATCCAAAAATTGAATTTCTCTGACGCGCCCTGAATTTTTTTCAGTGAAAAGTATTTGTTATCGTTCAAATATTTTAATGAGTTACTATGAATAACCATGAATGGATGAATTCAATTAACGGATAATTACTTTGTATACTTAACAACAAATTTGACCAATATGTCAAGTGTAATTTATTACAACCAAAAACTCCTTTTGTTTTTTGGTTGTATTTACGGAAGCATCCTCTGCAATCCAGTAGTTGCTTATTCCCCATGTGCTGGCGTATCGTCAGGGCGGCGAGTTACTCAGCAGTTTTCTTTGTCCTCGGGAGTCGAGACGCCGCCTAGGAAAAGGCTGTTTGTTGCCTCACGCTTCTGAATGCTAGTCACGGCTTTAAATATTCATGGTTCACGGAGTGCGCGATAGGCACGTATCCTGTGTTCTGTGATTGCTTCTTTAAACGGCAAATATTGTGGTCGTTCAATGATCTGGCTTATTATTACTTATTATTAGAGTAGGTATATTCTTGACACGGCATATATAGATGTTCAATTTTCCGCAGACTTCAGTTGTTTATGGAAGTACTCTGAAAATGAATGCAATTTAGACTGATGTTTTAGCTTCTAAAAAGTTCCTCATGCCTGTAATTTTCCTGATCTTTTAGAAATTATTCCCTTAAACTAAATTTAAGAGTGAGCAATTGATCGATTTAAGCTACTCAGGAGCAAGTCGCCGTTCAAGTATTATATTTTCAGTATTTTATCTGCGCTGTTCATGCTTGTTTCTTGCGCATTCACTCGTCAGGCCAGGGCTGGACTGAGGGCTGAGTCATGAATTAAAAGCTGGGCTCTGTTATCTCACTCACGCTCATACGAATTCAACACACAGTGTTCAGTTTTCGTGATGCGGCACACATGATTTAATCAGGAGTCACGAAATAAATTAATGATCAAGACTTATTGCTTTAAATGCTGGCTAGAGCTAGATATGTGATGAAAAATTAACGGTGTAGCTATCTTACATCAGGAAGGTTATTTCGGAAATGTCTGCATGAACCAACCTTGTTCCTTCACATGATGTCTGCGACTAATATTCGTTTCATATTTGGAGATATCTGATCAATATTATTATTCAGCTTGAGTCTCATATGACAATATACTTAAATACTGATCCACTTGCTGAATTGTTTCTGGAAAGCTTCAAGTGTTCATGAGTATGAAATTTCTCTCAGTTATTGTGAATATTCTTAAATAATTTGCAATATGAACTTCGGTTCCATAAACTTACGCGGAGTGTTATTTTTTATTTTTAATAAATCAAGGTTTGACGAATGCAACCGCAGTCCTTTTATTTTTCATTGCGTGAGCCGCATGTGAAATCAAATGTACTCGTAGCTTTCCAGCTGCACCCGTCGGGCTATCTTGCCTTCACTTCTTGACATCAATGTGGACATAAATTTATTTGTTATCTTGTAATGACAACTAATGTGTAGTTCACGTGAGACCGTGTCGTGTGTGTGGTTGAGAGCAAGACTGAGCTTTGGAGACTACACGGTGCGTCACCAGACGTACTATATTACTCACGGCAAAATGAGATTTTAAAAGAGATGAGTCTAACAAACTGGTATTGAATTTTGAATTGCTAATGTTTTGTTCATTTTACATCTAGTTGTTCATGGTCTTTTAGATCAGAATGCATACTGTACGTCAAAATTGTGACCATTGTCTTCTTGTTTTCCCAGTGAACGGGCGTCTTCGAACGAAAAGTGCATTCCATGTGTATGTATAAGAATGCAGTTGTTAAGAGTGTTCCAGCTCGGATTTTCATTTTCCATTTATCTCCAGTCATGAAATTTCTAATTTAAAGCCAGAAGTTGCCTGTGCAACAAACTAAAAATTTTAATTAGAATGAATCGCTGACTGCCTTTGTGACTGTTGATGCTGAACTCTGATGTAAACTGGGCATGAATGAAGCTCCGCACGTCTGATCACGACTTCCTGGCTTTATAGCTCTTGATGACCAGGACTAATTAAGCTTCATCCCGTCAAAAATGAAAGAAAGAATAATAGTGGAACGTTGTGGTTCCAAAAATCTTCACTAGCGCACTTAGTTCATCACTCGTGGCTCTTGCACTATCAGGATACGCTCTCATTCATGCTTCAGTTTATTTGATGCTGAAAACGATCATCTTTTCCATATCTGAAGTGCATGGTTTACTTATCGTTTTTTATGTATATGTTAAAATTTATGATTCTGATGGGGCTTCCATAAATAATGTCGTTTGCCTTCCTTCCTTTCACTTACTTATCTCTTATAGAAACTTGTTGAAATCTTCCAAGGGTCAATATCAGAACTCATTTTTCACCACGCTAATACGGCTTTTTTATTAAATCACTATAAGGAAAATTATGCTTGAATTGAATGTATTTTTGTTTCTAATGCAGGCCCCGTGTGTGTAGCCCTCCATCTGCTCCTTCATTGTGGTGAGTGGATTAATTTCTCGCTTGCAATTGCGCTTGTTCAAAAATTTTAAAAATCTCCATTGAATATTTCGAGCTCTTCTTTGAAGCATATCATAATTCTTATTCTCTGTTAAGCGGTTTGAGAATTTACGCTATTGATGGGATATTTTAATGGAACCTGTCTTATATTTTTTTATTATCGACATTGGTGGCCAATTAATAATTAATTAATGCAGTAACTTGCAAATTTTGTCACGCAAGTTGCGCAATATTTTCCTTAGCTCGTTGAATAAGCCTCATATAAATAAAACCTGTTTTAGGCTTTGTTACGAAGAGTTAAAATACGAGTGCACGACCATTACTATTAATGTTCTTTCTTATATTCTTTAGCATTTTAAACACGGTATTATGTGTTGTCGTGCGTATAGATAACAAGGAAAAAGGCTGTGAACACCTATATGGTGCTTGCCATTTTAATATTATACTTCTTTATAATTACGTGTATAGTTTATTACATGGGGTTAGCATATGCTGCGTCTCCTATTGAACACTAGCGTATGTTGCAGGTGTCACATTGCCACATTGCATTCGTCGTCTCTTACTAGGTGCTTCAATTTACTCTAATGCATCCTGATGATACCCTCACTACTGACACTCTATCTAGCATGTGACTTCCCTCGCCAGCTAGGGACATCGTGCTGCCTTGTTGGCTCGGCAATCAGGCTACTCGCAAAGCAATATACTATTTATTTGCCTAATATAAGTCAATATTCCTATCAAAGATAGGAAAAGCTACTTTTACCAGCAAGTGGTTTCATGCAAATTAAATATTTACGATTTTTCTACAATTAAATTAAATCATCCTAATTTTGTTACTAGTGTCAACAACCAACTTTTAAATCACTAACATTTTTTCGTTTACCAGTTTTCGTGCCATATGGCCCTATATTCATGGTCACATTTTGGCTCCGGACTTGGTGCTTCAATGCAATCGAATCCATGCATGTCATTTGTGTCATTTATCACATTAATTTGAAAGAAGAATAGCATCGACGTTGTTCTTATCTTTCATTATTTATGTAATGACTTCCTTTGTTTCGACCAACCCGCTCTATTGTATATTGTACTGCTGGTTGGTAAGATCGTATACGATGAGTGAGAAATTTTTACGTCAAATAGTATAGAGTAGTTAGTGGTGTCAGCTTTGATTTGGCAACGACGAAATGTTGTCGATTCTCGACCACCTGACCACCTTGCTGATTGTGACCTGAAATTTCGCAGCTAGTTGCGAAAATCGAACCAACAAGTTTCGCCTCAAATCTTGGTGATGCGCCACTAATTAAGCTTTCCAATTCTGTGATAGAATATCTGAGGTTATGAAGCACTTCATGTCTCACTCATATAAGGCCTGAGGTGCTCTGACTGCTTCCCGCCGAACCGTGGCTGTTCCATCGCCACAGGGCTGTTCCAAGTCGAGCATTTGGAACAAAACCCAACAGCCTCGAGGCTTCCTGCTTCCACCATTCTCTCGGCTGACTTTCTGAGCTATTATTCCACCTTCTAAGGTTACTGCAAGTCAAATATTGTTGCTATACAATTTTCCTGCTTTCTAGAACACACCAATTTTGTTCATTTAGACGAGTCTTTATGTTTTCAAGGAAAAAAGTTCTACAAGATTTTCTAAGGAAAAGCGTTCCATAAGATTTTCGTCACAAAATATGCAAGTATTAAATTAGGAGCAACTATTAAATTCTTAAAATCCTAAACATAGTACCCATTAAAATGGCCAATTAAATATAATATATATTGGCCATTATCTTATATATTACGCATATACATTATATTGGCAATTATAATGGCCAATAGGCGGAGTGCATCAATGAAAATATTTAAAGCTTTAATGGAAGATAATAATGCTCTATACTTCTAGTTAATCTTGTAGCAGATATGTTCGCTTATTGGAAACGCGTTAAGGCTAGGTAAAGAGCTAAATGAGAACTATAATTTCAGTGTCTCGGCGTTGGGCGAATATACTTCGAAGTTAAGACCATTGTCATGCTCATTGCTTTGCTGCTTGTATCATTTTCATAGATCCGACCTTTAGATGTATCGTCTTACGTTGAATTGGACGATCAAAATCTAACGTTTCCCACGTATCTCCTAAGTGCCGGCGAGCCTGCAATAATTTATTCAGCGCTGATTTACGACAACCTGAATTTCTGCCTGTAGGTAACGCTTGTCTCCGTCGCTTAAGTTTGCCGTGGCTCATTCGTCTCACGCTATCTGACAGAACGAGAGTCTTGGCATATCAAGCCGAGGTGCCGTGCCCCTTTGTATCAGTTTATTTGATCAGCACGCCGAGGCCGAGCGTCAGATGTAGTGCGGCATTCCTTTCCCTGCCAGGCGTTAGAATTACAGGGATGGGCTGCTTGTACAATGTACAGTCATGCGGTAGATGCTCATTGGAAAAGTTTCGGGATATTGTTCTCTGTGCGCTCGAAGGCTCATAAATAATTATTTGATTTTAATTAGATTTATCTACGCACAACTAAATTGTCAAATTTAATTTCCTAATACAAATCTAAAGTGGTGGAATTAAAGTTAGGACTATAGTCGAATTTCAGGAATTGTTACTTATTAATAAAATTTTTAGGGCAAGGTGAGCCTTAAATTTCATTTTATTTTCTATATAATAGTGAATCCTTTGACGTGGAGTGGCCACGTTGACCGTTGCTAAGGATATCAGCTCATTTATATTCTAACCGATTGCAGTCTTTTGCAGAATCGGTGTCTCATTTACCTTGTTCGATCAAGACGGAGTGCGTTATTTTCTCGATCTGCTCATAACTCGGAGATTGATGATCCATGCATTCTTGTCGCCGCAGTAATAAATCGTATTTTTCATGTGCCTCGTAGAGTTGATTCTTGGAAATTTGTATCTAAGAACACTAAAAAAATTCCATTCTGTACTCGTTTCCTGTTTCTTTCTCCGTCCTAGACATGACATAACATGACATAAATCTTAATTTTGTATTCTAGAATTTTCAACATGTATTGAAAATCAATCTGGCTCCCCACAAATTTCAATACGGTGATAAATAACTCTACTTAGTAAAAGTTGAGCAAAACACGTGTGCTACAATTGATATTCAGCATCCTAAAGGAGAAAACTTTCCTGTCCTCCCACCGTTTGTCTCCTCAACTGCCTTTCTGCGTCGCGCCTAGCGCAGCCATTAGCGAGTGAATCATGGACCCATCCCTTCATGTGAAGCGTTTCCGGGCTTTCGGAAAAGCTCACAAGGATGACGTGCTTATGATGCCGAAAATCGCCCAAAATTCAATCTTGGAAGGTACTGTCCATTCTATCCTCAAAGTTGTGTATGCTCGTCTGGGCACCGCTTGCCTGGCTTACCGCGGAAGCCAGTGATTGTCGGCTACATCAAGCAGCCGTAGTTTTGCCTCTAACTTCATTATTTATGCTCGAGCGGCCGCCGCAGCTCAACGATAAACACCGAACCATTGTGCAGAAATTCAGTGGCCTACGTCCGGACGGGCGGGCACTGGAGCAAATTATGCGGAGCTTCATTTGCCTCCATGTGACTGGTGAGCAGCGCGTCGTGACACTGAACCTCAATTGTCATACAAATTATGTTGCTTTCTTGATATGAAAATGTACTGTCATTGAGTGCGTCGGCTCCGTGCGGCTATTCCTTAATTCTTTATTCTGCGTGTGAATGTTTCTTTTTATGTAAAGATGAAAAATATAGACTTCAAATTATCCCAATCGACGTAAATATTAATGACTACATTTTCCGTGACTTTGAAACCTAATTTGTAAACATTTATCAATTTAAGTTATGCATTTACCAGATGTAAAGAAACGTGCGATTTACGTCATTCATTTGAAAAAGGAAAGAGTAACTGATGACACTCCGCAACATGAACAAAGCTCATCCCAATCCTGACCTCAACAAAGCATTTATTTTGTATTCAATGTGCTGAAATTTTGAGCCTTCTCATCTTTCATTTCCTGCCGAATGTTGCAATTTCTGATTGAAAAATTTCTTTGTTTGTTCTGTTTACCAAATATACTTCTTTCATTGCGGTTCGGATGTGACTCTTAAGACGTATTTATTTTTAGGCGACTCATTTATCTATGTGCGGGAACGAGGCCTCCACATTATCCACACCAATGACCTTAATCTCGCCGGTGTCGGGGTGCTGAAGAGCCGCGTGTTTCCTCTGGGGTGATTCTCGCTTCCGAGGCCTCGAGCTACGCGCCGCTCGCGGTCGGCCACAAGGGAGTAGTGGGAGGCTTGCAAAATGGATCACTTCCCTGGGATCTACAATGAAGTTTTCTTTTCCTATACAGAGATAATTTGAAGTATTCTCCTGCACTTTATCGCTCCATATAAAAGAAAGTATGTTTTCATAAACTTTGCACTAATTATCAACAGGTTCCCGAACTTTTTGTGATCGAGTATCACCATGGGGTTTCGTACATTCGCTGCGTACCACCGAATATCACTATCACATATTAGCTGTTAATGTGTATCAATAGAGGCATTAAAAAAATATTTTATTTTTGATGACGACGTGCTGTTTGATAAAATAAAATGACAACCGCTGCAATCCTAGCAATATAATTTTTTTAGGACGTAACATCTTCTGAACTGAAAAATAACTGATCTAACCAAAAATCGTTCATGACATTAAAGGTTGCCTACCACGTATAGAGGCCGTGCGCACCTCTTTGTGAACAGCTGCTCTGATCAAAGATTAATATGGTGACGTTGTGTGAAATGTTTTTCGTCACGAAAATGCTTACAAAAAGATCGTGTTGATTTTTTCATTGTTTATTAAGGTTTCAAACATTCTATATGTGTGCAAGGATTCCGCTCGTGTGCACTGCCTCGTATATTTACAGTGGGGGGAAATAAATATTCGTACACTTGATGTACTTACATACATTAAAATACGATTTTTCAAGTGTACGAATATTTATTTCCCCCCACTGTATC